CTTTATATAACCACCAGAGCTGGTCACATGACACAAGTGTCGTCTCTGCTCTTCAGGGGAGAGGGAAATAAAAACAGGTCATGGAACTTCCCCTCTCCTCTGCTGCAGCCACCGACCTGAAAACCCTGCGGCAGGATTAAAAAAGGTTCTGGTCCACTCTGGTCTGATCAGTGAGACCTGGAGGAAAGAAGGCTGCAGTTTCTACATTATTTCCAACATTAAAAAAAATGTATGATCAAAATAACTACAAAGCAACATTCAGACAAGAAGATTGCACAGGTTGGATTTTGTCCGTTTCCTTTTTTCATCCCACTTCTGCTCAATAAACTGACGATAAAACACAATCCTTCATGAAACAAAGTGCAAAAAGAATGGGTCGCAAAATGGAACATTTCAGCATCAGCACTTTCACATTTCAGTCTTAGAACCATCTTTAAAAAAAAAACAAAAACAAAGCTGAGGAAACAAAATTATTTTCTTTCAAAAAACCCAGTCACAACCATAGACCGTGAATAAGAAATGGACGTAGCTGCAGGATGTGGTGATAAAAGTGGAGCTGCGGATGTCAACCTGAAGTTCTCCACTGGAACAGAAGTCCAAGGAAAAATGGGAACAAAGAGTTGATGACCTTCATGATGAGTTTGAGCTTCTATCTATCTGTTAATAAAAAAACAGCATTTGTTTTGTGACCAACAATCCCATTTGGTGGAAAATAGAAAATAAAGCATGGGTAGAGACAGAACATGAACTGCTGAGTTCCTAACACCTGGAGCGCCCCCAAAAGGACCCACAAGACAGTGGTGTGATGGTTGGCCTTATAGCAAAATAGGTCAGCAGTTTGAGTCTTAGTGTCTCTATGTAGTTGTACATGTTCATCCCATGTGTACAGTATTACATGTGTACAGTATTACATGTGTACAGTACATGGGGTTTTCTCCAGGTACTGCAGTTTTCTCCCCCAGTCCAGAAACATCCAGGTCGGACTTAATTTCTCTCTAAGTTGACCATAAGTAGCCCAGGCGTTGGAACTAGCCAATCAGTGATCTTGCTGTAAAGACAAGCATGTCAACCACTTGGTCCACTGTGTGGCGCTGTGGTCTTAGAACTGTTTAGCTGGGTCAAAGAGCTACGTCCATTTATTATGTAAGGCCTATGTTTACAACAAACCAAATCAACAGGTGTGTGTGTGTGTGTGTGTGTGTCTGGTTCACTTCAGGTTATAGAACATCCATAAATTTCTTCTCTGCATTTAAAACCTCTGCTCTGTACAATGTGTCACTGGGCCATAGAAACAAACCTAGAGATAATAATAATAATAATAATAATAATAATAGTCATTATTTCAGCACCAACGAAGCTCAGGACAGACCGAGTGACACTTAAAACTCTATGATTACAATGGCTGTAATATTAATAGAATATATATATATATTTATTCTATTGTAAATATGTATTTTTGTAAATTTTTCGTTTGTTATTACAAGACTTTGCCAAAAAAAAACCCACAACAAGGCCTTTTTTTAATCTTATTTTCCTGTGACCAACTTTGTGACCTAATACCATTGTCCCAGGTCATGTGACCGTGCTGTCGACTGTACACCGTCCACGGCTGTCTACAGGTTCCTAAAACAGAACCATCATCTGTGTCTCTTCGCCACAGCTCGACTGTCAGAGGAAACATCACAGCTTCTACATTCAGCTCAGACCCCGGGACCAAATGACTGATATGGACTGGTTCTGGTCTGTGGACCAGGGGTTGGGAACTGGTAGGATTCTCATCCGCTCTACAGCAGGTTCTGGGTTCAATTCCCCCGAGTACCCACTTAGCTCTGCCAAACTCTGTGACCCACTGCTGTAGTGACCCCTAGAGGAAGGGACAAGCTGCAGCCCTAAGAATGTTTATGCGGAAAAACTCATGGACACACACACACACACGAACACACACACACCCTGGCCATGTGGCTTGTTTCTAAACTGAATGTGACTTTAGTTAGGTGTAAAAAACAACCTTCAGCCGTGTCTGTGTTTGTTGAGGTTTTTGTTCAGATGGAAAAATAACTCGAACTCTTTTCATCGGTTCCCCCTGGTACTGTTTCAAAGGCACGTCCCTGCTCTGCCTGTGAACTAATGACTCAAGTTTGTGACTGTAGGCACAAATGGAAAGACATTTTAACACAACACCCGCGCACACACATTCATGCACACAAACAATGCCTCTAGTGGGTATCGCTGGTACTGCAGCTCCCTTTTATAATGGGTACTTTATATATTCTTCTCCACTTAGACTGAACCTGAGCTAAACTGTGCTTCGGAATTATGCCCGTGCGCGCTCGCTCGCTCACTCACTCACTCACACACACACACACACACGCAAAAGTCAACTTTGATTGTCTTATTACTGGCTCAAAATCCCTGTCATCATGCGCTGCATGTGTGTGTTTGTGTCTGTATGTGAGAGAGAGAGAGAGAGAGAGGATGAAAAATACCGACTGACAGGCGGAAAGACAAATAATCATGACACTTCCACTGGTCGTCGCTGGAGGGCACCGTAAGCAACACAAGAGCAGACTCGGGCACCACAGAACACAACGGAATACAGATCGATAAAAAACATACAGTCAGGCTTTAGCCAGGATTAAGGAAAGCCGTTTAAATAATGTAATAACAACACGTGACCTTTTCTCTCTTTGAGAAACTAAACACTGATGTCTGTACGAATAGAACAACTTATTTATTGGATTTAATATACAAGGAAATAAATTAACCAGAGGAAAAGAAAATATCTGACGCTCCTTTTCCAAGTTGTCTTCATTTAAAATCAGCTGGTTTTCTTTATTCCAGTCTGTGGAATGATGAAATCTTTCCATCTCTCTCCTTGTTCTTTCACAACTTGTTGCCCAGGAGAGAATCTCACCAAGTCTGACTCCTCGTCTTCTTCCATTCTCAAATTCGTCATCTCCAGTCCAGACTTCTTTGCTATTGCTTTTGAAGATGCAGTGTAACTGGGATGCACCAGAGCCCTCTGGGTATTAGTCGTGTTTTATGGCACCACTGCCAATGGCTTTTAAAGAAACTCCTCTCACAGACGTCGGTGTGTGAACGCTGTAATCCATATGTGACTCGAGGAGAGGAGAGTGAAAAAACAAATCCACAGCTGTACACGTCCCCATTTCCCTCAGGTGAGGCCATGATCAGGGGCTCGATGGTCCGGACCAGTCACAACACTGGTTCCAGGAGTGTGATTTTTACTGTGTCCACGGGCCGTGTTGACTCGGTGACTGAGGACAGACTTTGCTGCGTACCTGTTAGACTCTTTTTCCTGCTCTTGCACCTGAACCTCTCAGCTACGGCAGCTGTGCTGGTTCACTTTTGGCACAGCATCAGGTGAATGTTTGAAAAAAAAAAAAGTGTGAATGTCATCTCTCTAAAAGTGGAACCTTTACAGTGAGGTGACCAGACACACGGGTGAGGAGAAGTCGCTCGTTTTCCAGGACTGATTTTGGCACGTGGAGACGACAGGAGGGTCAAGTCAGTGACGCTCTTTTGGTCCTATAGGAGACTGAGGGGGGGGGGGGGGGTGGGGAAAATAAAAAA